GTGCTGCACCAGCTTTCACAGCCACAGAAGCCCAGTGGGGCACCAGGAGATCACCCACAGCCACAGAAGCCCAGTGGGGCACCGGGAGATCACCCACAGCCACAGAAGCCCAGTGGGGCACCGGGAGATCACCCACAGCCACAGAAGCCCAGTGGGGCACTGGGAGATCACCGACACAAACGGGTTTCCCCGTCAGGGCAGCAGGAGCAGAGACCTCAGGGAGAACTCCTGCCAGGGGATCCCACAGGAGGTGAGGCCACAGGGAAGACCGGATGGATGCTGTGCTATATAGCACACCTGCCGACTCTGCACGCGTGTCTGGGCTCTGCACATGGAGTGGAGCGAACGGCTGCCACTGTGGATTCCATGAGAGCTGTGTGGCACTTACAGTGAGCTCGGTAGCAGGAACCTGGGAAGCTGTGGCACCCGTGCCCGTGACCCCAAAGGCTGGAATCCTTCCAGGGCCTCTCCTTGTGGTCACTGTGTCCCATAAGCAGTTTAGGAAGATTTATCTGCTTCCAAATTGTTCCAGTTTCTCGACTTAGTGTTTGAAACTTTACCACTGGAGATGAAACACTTTGTGTGAAAGCGTCACTCTCACAGATGTCTGCTTGGGAAAGAAAAGGAGTGACTATATCTTAGGTGGGAAACACCTTTGTGCTTGCCTTACACATCCAAGGAAGGGGCGACCGTGTCCTCTCATTTACCGAGAAAAGACCGTAAGGCCCCCTTGTAAACCTGTGGCTGCCCTGGTTTGTGTCAGAATCCGCCTTTCTGTGTTGGACACTCCGCAGGCAGACTCAGGCCTGGTCCCTCTGGGGTTCTGGGTGGCTGGAGAGAGCAGGACAGGGCTGCCCTGGCCTCCTCCAGCCCCCAAATCTGCACAAACCCTGCCTAGACAAGACAGCGGTACTGCCCCTCCCTCTCGCCCGCCTCCAGAATGAAGGCACGGAGGTCTTGGCTCCGCACTGCACAGGCACCATCCGGCTCTGCCTCAGGGCTCCAGCAGCCTGGGCAGGAGCCCACCGGGACACACCTAAGCTCAAATCCCTCATGGGCCCACGCCTCCCTCCATTCTCCCTGCTCCAGGCACACAGACGCTCCCATTCAGGTCCACATGCAGCACCAATGCTGTGGGGTCTCAGGTGGCCTGTGTGGTTGATGACATTTGCTAAACACCCATAGAGGTCCCCAGTGACTTAGCATCTGCAGCTAATAAGATCTCTGGCACAGGACAGATGGGCCAGCGAGGAGGGCAAGCTTGCACCCCCTTTGGGCTTCCCCAGGAGGCTCTGGCGGGCGGGGAGGGCCAGGCCTCCTCCTCCTCCCCAGGCAGTGGGCGGGGTCACTGGGCATCTCTTGTTCTGTCAAGGGGAGGTGGAGCGAGTATGAGTCACTCATCAGGGCCAGGCCTTCCAGCCCCAGTGCCACCCCTGGGACCAGCCTGCTCTGCTCCTCCCCTCTTGTCCCCACACCCCACAAACTCACAGCAGTATCTGTTTTCCTGCTACAAGAGGAAGAGACGGTTGTGGGGAAGATGGCTTGAGGGTGAGGAGCTGGAGAGGTGAAGGTAAGCCCACATTAAGATGCTGAGAATCCAAGAGCGAGAGAAAAGCATTTTGGAGAACATCCAGGGAGGCTGCATTCACCTGAGGGCGCTTCCCCAGTGCTGCCTGTGTGCTGCGTGCAAAAAGTGGCCCCTGACTTTGTGGTGTTCAGGAGCCGGGAAAACCTCCATGGTTAGAATTCCAGCCTTTGAGGTGGGGCCCGCTGACCCCTCCTGGAGGTGTTTCCCAGGCGGCCCTGAGCTGAGACTCTGTGGGAAGCGTGGGAAGCAGGTGACTGGGCAGGGAGCGGAGGTATGGCCAGGCGGGACTTAGGCAGGCACCGTCCAGTAGGGACAGTCCAGGATTCACACGACGGCCCCTCTCCGGGCGCCCCAATGGAGCCAGGATCTCAGGAGCTGGAAGCTGGTGGTGTCTTGAAGTTGGAGTTTCCAGACAAGGCACAGGACTGCAGAGTATGACACAGGCAGGGCGGGACTGAGAGAGGGCGAGGTCAGGGTTGGGGCAAGGCCATGGCCTCAGAGGCCAAGGGGCATTATGGGGGCTCTGTGGCAGCACCCAGAATTCTGCCAGTGTTGGGAGGGGCAGGGGGCAGGAAATTGCCCTCCACTTCAGAGTGGGCAAAGCTGGGTTTGGCTGACAGCCCAGGGGGCTGAAGGGCCTGAGGTTTGGTCAAGAGGAAGGGAGAAGTGGGATAGAAGGGGGCGCCTAGACCCCAGGAACGAGGTGGCAGGCAGGGGCTTGGTGGAGATCAGTCAGGGAGGAGCTAAGAGCCGGGACGAACCAGAAGGCTGGGAAGCCCAGTCCTGAGTTTCCCTTTCTGTGCGGCCCTGGCGTCCAGGGCGGTCAGCACCCAGGACACCTGGTGTCTCTGTGGGGGGTGGCGGCCGAGGGAACAGCCAGGGAGGGCCCACAGCACTCACACCGCGCTCTTCACCTCCGGCCCACACAGAAGCACGCTCAGAAAGCGTTCTTACTATACTGTTTCTACTGGCAGAAAATGTACAGGCCACTTGTGTGATTTCATTTATGAAGAAACTGAAGCAGATTTTTATTCTTTATTGCAAGCAGATTCAGGTCTCCTGCTTAGATAATCTAGAGAAAAGTCCAATATAATATTATCAAGTCAGTTTATCTACAGAAATAAAAGTTAAAAACAGGAGCATACAAAATAAACTTTACAGAAATGTTATATTTGGTTTAAGTCACAATTTAATTTTTCAAAGCAGATTAATGAATTAACAGTTAAATGTTACTGTGTGAAGGCTGATTTATGTTAAATGCACCTACTATGTTCAATAATTTAAAAATAAACTCCAGTATTTATGATGATGACAACTATGGATACCATTCATGTTAAATACATTTTTGAACACCTTCTTTTATTACATTACATAATGAATAGACATTTTAAATGGTAATGCAGACATTATAATTTTAAGTCAGACACAATATATGCATATTAAATTCTGTATACTTTGATAAGGTAAAAAATAAAGCTATATAAATTGATCTTTAGATTTTTTTTCTGCAAAAGTAGAATCATACTTTCATGACACTTCTAACATCCCCATCAAAGCTGCTTATAGACACAAAATGAGAACCATTTTCGTTCAAGTTCACCCACCTTTAGCTAAAAATAAAAAAAAACATTGCATTTGCCAACTGATAGTTTTCCTGTTTTTAAAGTTACAAATGGGTAGCTTCCTAAAGAAATGTAGGATGCAAGGACCTGCACATCAAGCTGTTAGACACCGAGTTGTCAAATAAATAACAGTAAGATTAAATAAAAGTGGTTGCATTATTCAACACGAGTCAGTGCAAAACACATGAACAGAGTGGTCTGAAGGAGGAGGCTGGAGGTTTCCTGCTATGGCACTGGACCCTGGGCCGAGGCTCAATTCAGTGGAGTCACAACAGCAAGTCTAAACATGTGTTTCAACGCTCCGCAAGCCGAATGGTCACCGTGTGGGAGAGGCTGCCCGTGTCTGGCCTCCTCCCTCAAGGCTGTGTGGCCTGCTTGTTCGCCGTGTCTGCTCAGACACAGGCTGGGTTGATTGGGGCTTGAAGAGGCTGTGGCCCTGCCCAGCTGGCTTGTGGCAGGCTGGCCATGCTCCCTGATGTGTCAGGGATGAGGTGTGGCGTTGGTGCAGCAGTCCTGCTGTGGCCGCCTGGTTTAGGGCTGAGCTGAGGGGACGTTTCATCTTGTGGGGCTGGACCTCCCTGAAGGGGAAAGGGCCTTGTCCAGGGCACCAAGCATTGCTCACAGAGCAGCTGTGTAAGTGAAGCTGCAGCTTCACCCCCGGGGCCTGCTCTGCAAAACCCAGACATTCTACCAGGAGGAGGGCTCTTCATCACATGGAGGCATGGGGTAGGGTCCAGGGAGCCCCATCTTCCCACACCTGGCCAGAGGCCCCTCACAGGGCCCTCAGGAAGGAGGAAGAATGCAGTGTGGGACACCAGGCGGGGGTGCATGTGTTTGTGGCACATGTGTGTATGCATTCATGTGTGCACATGTGTGCATGTATGTATACATGCATGTGCATACATGTATGTATTCATGAGTGCAGGAGCCTGCATGTCTGGGGATGTATGCATGTGCATGTACATGTGTAGGAGCTCACGTGTGCACACGTGTGTTTACATGCCTTGGAACTCATGTCTGTGGTGTGTGTACACGTGCTTGTGTGTGGGAGCTTGCACATGTGTTTGTAGTGAATGTACATGTGTGTGTATGCATGTGTACAGGTATAAAAACTCATACGTATTTCTGGTGTGCATAGGCGTGTGAGAGCAGCCCGTAGGAGCTTGGACATACGTGCTTAATGTACATGCATGTGTACTCACGCGTCCATGTGTAGGAACTTAGCTTGTTTGTGGTGTGTGTGCATGCATGCATTGTGTGTGTAGGAGCTTTCATGTGCCTGTGGTCTGTGTACACCTATGCATGGATTGCCTATGTGTGTAGGTCACACATGCTTTTGTGGTGTCTGTACGTGTGTGTATACATGTAGGAGCTCACACACATTTGTCGGTACACATTTGTGTGCATGCATGCCTGTAGGGGCTTGCACGCCTGTGTCCATGTGCATGTGTATGCATGTGTTCCTGTGTGCAAGCCTGCATGTGTACATGGCTGTGGGCGAAATGGAGCCAAAGCGAAGGGAACTCATGTGCAGCGGGCCCGCCTGTGTGTATATGAGACACACGGTGTGTGGCCGGGACTGGGTGTGGAGCAGCAACCGTGTATCTGACCAACATGCTGAGTTACAAGTTGGTAATTTATTAACATGTGCAGCAGCGAGTAAGATTTTTAAAAACAAAGTGCTTAAAGTTGACATTACTTGCTTCAAAGTTAGTTTAAGGCAAGTAAATACTAACTACTGTGAGGTGGAAAACTGCGTGGAGTCACCGAGGGTCTTCCCGTCCTTTTTCGTCTCGTGCCGCTTGTCTATTTCGAATTATCAGGCACATTCATTTAGTAATTTCCCAAGCAGTTTTTAAAAAGATGTTTGGGAGTGTGTAAAAGTTTAGTGACTGTCACACTAAGACTTGTTGTCAGAGGTACGTGGTGACTAACTCGACAAGCAGAACTGGGCCCCAGCTTACTAACCCTTCACGTGAGAATCTTCTACTTTTAAGGCTGAAGGATGGAAATTAACAAAACATAGAAAGCAGATGAACCTGCAATGAATTGTAAAGAAAAAACGCAGCAAATTATCGTACCTTAAATATGCTGTTCAACTAATCACCGCCACCAGAAATGCCAAGAAAGGAAGAGGTGTGCGTAGAGACTAAAATCAAACCTGGAAATTCACATTCATCAGAGATTGGAACATTCAGTCAATAGTCTCCCCAGAATCTAAATGTAAAGTGGCCAAAATTTCATAAACTTAAAAAGGAAAGCTTTAAAAACATAGTTTTAAAATTAGACCATATGTTAAATAAATGAATAAAAGTGATATAAACAGCTATGAAAATACTTCAGTGCAAAGGCAATTTTAAGATTTCTAAAAAAATACATTACAAATAATTTGTTAACTGAACATACAGAGAACCTGTCTCCCTACAGGTATTACATTTATACCCATGTTGGGCTCTTAAAAAGGGCTGTAAAAATGCACACACCATTGTTTGTGGGGTGGCGTGGGCAGGGCTGCCTAGCCAGGGCGGCCGCACACGGACCTCGGGGCGGGACGGCCCCTCGAGACAGCGTGGAGTTCTCCGCATTCTGTCTGCTCAAGCCAGCTGCTCACTACCCTAATCTTTGGTGTGGTGTTTGTCGCCTTAGTTCATCCCAGCCACTGTGTTCACCGTTCTTACCGTTGATTTATCCTCTAGTTCAAATAAATATTTTCTAGGTAAAAGATTATACAATCAAATGGTGAAATTTGAGCTTCCAAAAACACCTACTGTCAAGCACCTCGGAACCGCCCTGGGCTTCCCCTGCCGCAGCCCCGTTTCCCGGCGTGGTGCGTGCGTGCGGGCGTGAGGACGGCTCCTGCGCATCCGATGGTGCTTTCCCAAAAGGCAGCAGTTTCAGCGACTGAAGTTGGATTCCACACTGAAATGTCTTCTTTAAGGACCATTAAGGCTACGGAAAGGTTTCTAGAAATAGAAATGCCGGTATAGAGAGCAACAGGGACTTCCTATGACAGCAGCCGTTGGGTTGCTAATCCACCCAGAGCAGAGCGGAATGGAATCCTATGAGGAAGGAGAGCCCTGCGTGGGGATGTGGGGACGCGGGGACAAGGGGGCGCAGGGAGGCAGAGCCCGGCAGGCAGGGGCGCAGTGCTGCCTGTTGGGATTGACCCCCTTCCTGTGGGCCGCCCCCATCAGCCCGAGACAGGTTCTGGGGCATGAACACCACCTTGGTGGTCACCCCTCCATGGGGACAGAGGATGTCTGCCCATCACGGCAAAGTATCTGTCCCCCTGTCCCTTGCACCCATGAAATCAACATTCTCCCATAAAAGTGGTGAGGGTGGGCTGACGGCTCCACGCTCAGGCAAGTGGCCGACGGACATCCTGGCGTTTCTGCTGCAGGGCCGGGAGCTGCTGGCGTGGCCCTGTCCTCCCACGCGGCACTGCTTTCTTCAGGAGCCTGCCAGTGATGGGAAGAGACCGCAACTCAGCCAGCCTGACACACAGGGCAGGCGGGCTCAGCCTTAACTGCGGGGAAACACCCCCAGATGAGCAGGGCACAGCCTTGCGTCAGTGGGGATGATAGTGTCCCAGTGACCTGGCCCTTCCCACAACAAGAGCATTGAGGGTTCTTGGGTAAAGGACGTACTGCTACAGCTTCACCTTGCCCTACGGAGGGCATGGGTGGCGGCCAGACAAGCAGGACACAGCAGTGGGCAGCGTCCACACGTGGGCCACCACAGGTCCCTGGATGGCTCTTCTCTCCCAGTGACAGCAAAGGCTGATGACGGCAGGTGGGTGAAGACACAGGCCTGGGGGCACAGCCTCTTCTTGACAGCGTGCAGGGTGGGCCAGCAGAATGTCCCTTCTGAGTTGAGCTGAATGCCCGGAGGCCACCACTGTGGCTGAACCACCACAGCGCTAGTCCAGATGGCCAACGGCCACGCTTGAGGCAAGGCCTGTGGCCCCTCCTTGCCTGCTGGGGGCCAGGAAGAGGCACAAGCACAGTCTCCACCGGCTTGGGGTCGCCCATCACACGAGCATTCCCACGAGGGACCCAGGGCAGCCGTGCCTTGGGCTGGAACTGTAGCAGTGATGGGAACAGCTGGGGGTGGGTGGGGGCTCCGCGGACACCTTCCCCTTCCAGACCGCGAGCGTCACCCGCTGAGGCCTGGAGCCGCTCCAGGCAGCCGAGGGACAGGTGCTCTGGTAGCCTGGGCTCTGCAGAGAGGCAAGAGGGGTGAATTCTGAGTCTCGGTCCCAAGGCTGTGCGCACCCATTCTGCTGAGAGAGTGAGAGACACACGGTCAGTGTGGGGGATCCCCATGGGGCTGCCCGAGTCACTCTGGGACACATTCGTGACCGTCACCTCCTGCGGGAACTGCTAGACTCAACTCAGGACACGGCCTCATCCTGAGGGCATTTCAGGTAGGATCCACCCCCCACCTACCACCCCCAGAGACGCCACACAGAGGAAGGGGGTCTCTGCGTAGGAACGAGCACCTCTCCTTTTCAGTACTAACAGAGCACCGTCCTCCCGTGCCACCATCCCATGGAAGAACCCAGGGGCCCCAAGGATACAGGCCATGGACAGGAAACCCATGGGCCTCCTCCCTGTAGCTGGCGTCCTGTGCAGTGAAAGCTCAAATGCCGTCCCATACCCAGAGACCCTCGGACATAAGAGCTCACTCACTGCCCCAGAGAGGGGAGGCCCCACCCCACAGGGACCAGGCTGGTGTCGTGCTGGATGTGTCTGGCTTGTGTCCCCTCAGCTTGCTGCCTTGGGTGTCACCACACGGATGGGGCCTGCATGGCTTCTTACTGACAGCCCATCGGGGCCCTGGATGTGCACAGGCGTGGGGAGCAGCAGGAGGCCGGCAGCATGCACCATCTGTTGGGGGGTCGTCCCCAGGTCAGCCCACTCTCAGACCAAGGGCAATGGTGGAAACGCCAGCAGGAGCAGGTGTCTTCACGGCCTCCACGGCTGCCAGACAGGTGACAAGCTACGTGCTCTGGCTGGCCTGCCTAGGTCCAGGTTCCACAGGAATCATGCAATATCCACATGTGATTTCAAAGCAGCCTCCTTCCTGTGAGGCCTTTTAAATAAAGCTGTTTCTCCCAAAAGACCAGGATGATATCTGATGTTGCTGGGCCTGCTCAGGCTGCGTGGCGTGCACGTGGGGTGTGTGTGCACCTGTGTGCATATACATCTGTGTGTGTGTGCACAGCACGTTCCATGTGGAGTCAGCGTGCCCTCAGGCGTGCCACTTACCTGGGACAGCAAACACATGTGTGTGTAAAGAGGGCTGCTCTTTTTCACTGTGAACCTTTGTTATCAAAGACAGCACAGCACAACACAGCAAAACTTTGGAGGAAAACAGGTCTGAGTCACAACACACGGGCGGCGTCCAGTGGCCGCACGTTACCTAGCATGGAGCTAACTGCGCCGTGGCCGCCGTAGGAGATCCTTCAGGAGGGGCCTGTCGCTGCTCTGTGCGGCCTGGACCGGAGCCTTGTGCTTCGCGCCCCTCTGCAAGGCGAGGAAAGACACTGAGCAGTGCCACCCGACACGGGCCACGTGGGGCTGCTGAGTTGCCACCCATGGGCACCAGGAGCACCCTGGCCTCTGCCTGCACCACCTGTGGGCCCCAGCAGGAGGCGGCTCTGAGCCCGTTAAAGTCTGCACGGGATGTCATGGAGCGGCCAGGGCAAGGGCTCGGGGCCTCTCCAGGAAAACAGACGCTGTCCCAGCAGGGCCGCTCCCATGGGGAGCCCAAGCCCAGAACGGAGGCAGCCGAGGCAGAAGGTCTGAGTCCCTCAGCTGGAAGGTCCATGGGCACCTCTGGAATCCTGAAGCCACACATCTGGCCACACGCCCGCTTCCACGGCAGCCAGCCAGCCCCAGGAGCCGCTCTGCCAGGGCCCTGCGGCCGTGTGTCCTGAGGCTGACGTGCTCAGAGAGCTCCACTGAGATCCTGCAGCCAAGGCTTAGTCTATTCAAAGAATAAGGAAAGCGCAGGAGCTGAAGAACCGCAGGTCCGTGTGGGCAAATGTCCAGGCGAGGAGAAGCAGGAAACAAAGGCTGAGGCTGTCAGCCTTCCCAGGGACAGTGATGGAGAAGTGAACTGCATGCAGACAGGTACACAGAGGGATGCCAGCACCGACTTATATATGTGAGCTGCACATATATAACGCATACACCTGATGCCCGCAACGTTTTTCTTTTCCGTAGGAGCAGGTTAAAAGGAAGCCATCCTTCTGAAGGCCCGCGTGAGGACTGCTGACATGTCTATTCCTCCAAAGTTTTGCAGAACGCGGGTGGTCTCAGCACCACAGTGTATCCTGTGCGCGCTGGCCCTGCCTGCAGGGGTCATGCTGGGGCTCCAGGCCTCGCAGGGGCCAGGACAACCTCCGTGCCGTGGTCTCTAAGCAGCCGGGCTCAGCTTCTGCACGTGCTCAGAAGCAAATCAGCCCCCAGCGAACTTCAGCGATAGTGATAATGTTTATTTTTATTCCAGAGTTGGTGTGATTTACTCAGTTTCTGAAGGACCTCCTATGATTAAAGTGCTCCTAGTAATTTCATCCTAAATGTTTTCAAGTATGAAAACGGTGAGATGAAATTCTGTAATTTAATCTAACAAATTCTAATGACATTAAATTAGAAAAATTTTGATTCCTATTAATTCCTTGGACTTAAAAAAGGACCATGTTGCCAGTTAAAAATAGAGTTTAAAATATATAGAAGATGATGCTATTAAAGGAAAAAAAGCCTTTTTCTGCTCTGGGCATTTTTCTAAGCTGCATTTGGTAAAACAGTAATACCAGGTATGTATTTCCAAAGCATCACTGATTCTGTGCATGCGTGAACAAAGGGTGGGACGGGAAGGGTCCCCACAGGCGTTCCCACAGTGCCCCAAGCACACGGCACAGGAGCACATGGCTGAAAGACAGAAGGCAGCTTGACGATGCGTGGCCCCTGCAGTCTGCACCCTGACAAGGGCTCTGACCACGGACGCCACCACAGGGAAGTGGCGTGTGAACACCTCTGCATTGCCCTGAAGGGCCAGGATGGCCATTTTTAAGGCAAATTATTAATAAAAGGCATTTTAAAAAAACAATGAAGTCTTCATTTAAAGAAACGTAAAAAGGGGATTTGGTCAAACATTTGACACCAAACACTTCTGTCCCCGTCTCCAACTGTGTGGCTCAGCCTGGCTCCCCTTTTCTGAAATATGCATGGGTCCTGAGCATACCATGTGATGCTAGCTGCCTCAAGTCTTTCCAGCTGCAGAATGGGCACAGAAGTGGGTGCATGAGGGAGGAGGCCTGGTGGTCCCTGCTCTGCAGGCTGCGGAGGGAAAAGTGTGCTGAGCTCAGGGCCTGGGTGACCACACCTTCCTGCCTAGGGACCCCTCTGACACCTGTGTGACGGATCATATGGCCGGTCTCACTGTCAGCTGTGTCTGAGCCTTCACGGGTGGGGTCTCGGGCTGTGTGGACGGATGCTGAGGGAGAAACCCTGGTTACGTGTGACTGATGGAAAACATAGCCCACCATCAGTCTGAAGGTGAAGTGGTGGTGGGCTTCCCGAAGTGGGGTGCTGTGCCTGGCGGCTGGCGGACGCTGCGCTAGAGCGTGTGGACTCGGGGCTCTGGGATGGGCGTAGCCTGCTGCCCCAGGTCTACTGTCCCAAGCGCACGGAAGGCAGGGGAGTATCACCTTGTTCCGTCAGAAACTCAGGCTGCTGGAAGTCTGAGAAAGCATAAAGATGGTTGACTGCTCGACAGAAAGGCACTGGCTCTTAGTCTGAGTCCCGAGGTCAGTGGCCACACACAGGGGCGTGTGAACAAGGTGTGGGAGTTTAGACAAAGCAGTCAGAAGACGAAAGAAAACAGGACGGAAAGAGAAACAAGAGACAGAGCGGAGTTAGTCAGAGGCTCACCACCACATGCACGTTTACCTGGCCACTCTGGACAGACACCGGTGCCCCCGCCACAGCCTGCCAGCCCCCCACCCCCGGCTTTATGCCTCCTGCAGGTCCCTGTGTGGTTTTCCCTAAGGGTTGCTGGGGCCCTTGTGGGAAGCCAAGACCCACAGCAGAATAGGGGCTCCTAAACGAAGGGTGGGACAGGGAGGGTCCCGACGGACATTCCCACAGTGCCCTTGAGGCCCACCCACCCTGGGGACAGGCTGCAGAGCGGAAGGCCTGTGGTCAGATGCGCCCGGGGCATGGCTCTCAGCAGCCCCGACTCTGGAGGCTGCATGAACACTGTCATGAAGGGCCCAGAGTCCTGGGGGAGAGGCTCTCCTAACCACCCGCGTTCACCTCCTGTGTGCTCGGGTGTCTCTGACCAAGCACCACTGCATCCACGAGCGCCCCGGGGCCAGGGAGGGCTGAAACTCTCATAAACCCCCACTGCTGTGGCCACAGCTGGGGGCCCAGAGGACACCCCCAAGCTGTACCTGCTCACTCTCGGTGTCAGACGCCAGCCCTGCTGCCTCCTCTGTGCCCGGTGTCCTCGTGACCTGTCTGCCACGTCCCCGTGTATGGGGTGTGGTTATGACATGTGTCCCGTGCGCAGAGCCCTGTCATAACATGTGTGCCCGCTGTGGAGCTGCACGGCTGAAGAGCTCAAGAGCCAAGGACCATGCTTCGAGAACAGCGCCGTCGGACAACTACTTCCGAGGCCATCGCAGGGCTGGGCAGTGGCTGCTTGTGCCAGCAAGTTTCCCTGAAGCCCTGGGGGCCATGGAGTCTCAGCCCGGGCCCCAGCTCCTGCCCCACTGGCTGGTCACAGGCAGGGCTCCCCTCCCCGCACAGGGGTCCCTCGGTGGGACTGTCTTAGAGGCAGCTGACGTGTGCATTTCCTGCCTGTGGTCCCCGAGGCAGTGGAGCTGTGTGCGGACATCTTCACTATGCTGAGAGGGGGTTTCCTCACTGTGAGCTTCGCTCGCTCTGATTTTACAAACTGTGGCAGGGGGCGTGAAGGAGGGAGTGCCAGGAACTGGCGGCATCGGTTTCAGCATTTCCGATCGGCACCACCAACCCAAGGAAGCTTTCAAGCCAGGATCCCATCCTGACTGCTGGAGGGGGGGTGCGTGGGGCTGTGCTCCTGAGGGGGGCGGCTTGTCTTCCCTCCCAGCTGGGAGCCAGGCCCCGGGTGTCTGAGCTGCAGGAGTGAGTCAGGGCTGGGGACCCAGAACGCCCTTGTTCCCTGTCTTCTTCCCACCTGCGCCGCTGTGTCCGACCTGGGCAGCCTCACACCCTGCAGGAGTGGCCACTGCCGGGGCCTCCCCACCCCTCATTTCCCCACAGGGTTTCTGCCCTGCCCAGTCCAGGGCCCCACCTCAAAGGGCAATTAGAAATTTTGGGGAATAGGCCAGGTGCAGTGGCTCACACCTGTAATTCCAGCACTTTGGGAAGCTGAGGCAGGCAGATCACAAGGTCAAGAGATTGAGACCATCCTGGCCAACATAGTGAAACCCTGTCTCAACTAAAATACAAAAATTAGCTGGGTGTGGTGGCGCACGCCTGTAGTCCCAGCTACTCAGGAGGCTGAGGCAGGAGAATTGCTTGGAGCTGGGAGGCGGAGGTTGCAGGGAGCCAAGGTCGCACCACTGCTCACCAGCCTGGCGCCTGGCAAAAGAGCGAGACTCTGTCTCAAAAAAAAAAAAAAAAAAAAAAATTGAGGGGAATGCAACTTGAAAACCTGCATTGTTAACAGAGTCCTGTGACAGGTGCAGTGGCCCTCTGCGGGCAGGCAGGCTTCTTGGGACAGCAGCAGAAGACACGGCCACTGCCCCTGATTTAGGGTTGGGCTGTCCCCCAACTCCAGGCCTGAGCTTGAAGCCAGAGCCCAGCTGCTGCAAAGGATGGGGGGCCGGGGGCCGAGCCCTCACACCTGTGGAACCCTGCACCTGGGCGGGGGGCACTCAGCATTGTCACGTCTTCCCCGGACCCAGAATTCTGCTTGTGGCTAAAACTTGCGAGTGTGGAAAATAGGCAGCTCCACCAATACCAGAATTTCCTGAGATAAATGCTTCCATTTCCAGCCAAATTCACCATCCTTAAAAACCATGTAACTCAACGTTTAAACTAATGATTAATCTTAAAAGCCTTGCATTTACATAAAATAATTTGCCTTTTGTATGAATCTTTTTCTCTTATTTGTGTCTTATTTCAGATGACTGTTTAGGCTGCAACATAAACATCAGTCATATCAAATTTCCCTGACGTTTAACATCATGCGTCACTGGGAATCTCATTAGTGATACTTGGACTGGTCATATTTTCATGAAACCCAAACCTTTCACGCTATCCCTCAAAATGGTCCTCTCCCAGTCCTAAGGCCAGGGCACTGAGGCACCCCTGCCCCGGCCGGGGACGCTGCATACCTGGACTCTCTCCGTTGCCGTCGGCCACAGCTGCCGGCACAGCACTTTCTTGAGAACGTCGGGAAGGAGGCTGACAGTCACCAGCAGCACGATGGCCAGCCAGGCGGGCCCGCTGGACAGCATCTGGATAAACACGTAGTACATCCTCTGGTAGTTGAGGAACGGCCTGAGGGGCAGGGAAGAGAAGCCGCAGGTGAGGCCTGTGCTCCCCGGGGACGGCCTCTTTACTCTGGAAGGGGTCGTTTTTCTTGGGAGTTTGCACTTTTGTCAGTCAGAGGTTCCTTGGAAAGCCATGTAGCCTGCTCTGAATTTATCACGTAAAAAATGAATGTAGAACCTCCCGGCAATGCTGGGGTAAGAGGAACGAGAGGAGGAATTCTGTGACATCATTTCAAAGGGAAAACAGAAGTCTCTGAAGTTCAGTTTCACAGAAGCAAAAAGAAGGGGACTGAAACGGGGATGTTTTTCTATCCTGACGCCTCGGCCATCAGATGGGAAGGGTGTGCTGAGCGCTGGCCGTCAAAACAGAGCGGGCAATGACGCCCTCCCCGGAAGGAGGACAATTCAAAGATGATGTCTTCATCGGGCTCCTTGAGCTGGCAAGGAAGTGGGACCGGTGACCCCACAGCCAGCCCGAGCCCACAGAGCCACTTCTATCTGTGCCTCCTGGGAAGGATTCCCACTCGCCTTCCACATCCCCAGGCACCACGGACAGTGGCAGAGACACAGAGATGGGGCCCAACCCAGGAAGCACAGTGAACTGGGGTGTGGACCACGTAGGGAAACAGGAGCACGGGTGGTGGGTGACGGGGGGACGAGGAGCTGCTGGCAGGCCTGGGACGGGGCTGCGGGCACCCATGCGGTGCTGGTGGCGGGCAGGAGGATGGGTCTTGTCGCCAAGCGGGGGTGACGTGGCGAGCTCCCAGCACATCAGAGACTCGGGGTCAGTGTTTTAGGGAACGAAGCAAGAGGCCAGGGCTCTACCCAGGCGGACGGGCCGTGGCCCCTTGGCTCCAAAGCCCAGGAGCAGTCAGAGAGGTTTTGGGATGGAATCTTCTTACTCAGCCACGGCCTTCGGGGCTGCTAGAATGCTGGGCTCTCTGAGGCAGAGGCCCAGCCGGGCTCGCTTGAGCCGGGCGGGCTTCTCTGGGGCAGGCAGGTGACTGGAGTCCTTGAAGCTCGGCTCTCATCTCTGGGACTGTGTAATGCAACCCGGGGCCACCAGGGGCCGCGGGCTGAACGAGAGAATCTGGAGGGACGCTTCCTGAGCTGAGAATCCCGCCCAGGTCAGCGGTCCTGAGGGTTTCCCTGGCCCCAGGTCTGCAGAGGGCTGTGGCCGAGGCTGTGGTGCTGGGGCTGAGATTGGGATCCAGTCTGGGGCCACCACCCAGCGTCATTTCCTGGTTTCCCGTGACAGTCTCTGGACTGACCACCCTGCCTATATTGCTCTCACCAGCTCAACATGCAGCCACCGTGGGGTTTTTAAAACAGCCGCCCAACTCTGCTGGGCTCTGCCCACAGCCCTCCAATGACTCGAATGACCACGGCAGCCTCAAGCCAGGATCCCCACGGCCGGCAGTCCAGGAGGCTACCCTGCCTGCTCTGCACTGGCCCCGGCCCCTCTCCACTGGCCATGGCTCCCACTGACTGAGGACCCCAGCCCCTGCCCAGGCCTGCGCCCCTCCTGCTGCTCCACCAAACCAGAAGCTCCCCTGGGAGTCAGGCTGCCGTGGGCAAGGTCTGGCCCTGCCACGCATATGCCCGGGCCCATCTTGTCTGTGGTGTGCCAGGATGGAGTGAGACGGGACCTGTCAAACACCTGGCCGGCGCCTCGTGGTGGGAGGCAGTTTGCAGCTGGGATTTGCTGTGATGATGGTGCCCTTGGTCCAGGTTTCAGTTTAAATGATGACTTTTTCTGAGTAGTCATCTCTAGCCTTTCAATCTGACACAGGTCCCCTGGTGTAGAATCCTGGTCTGTTCCTCCACAGAACCAGGTAGCATCTCTCTCCTCCTGCAGGTGCAGGTCACAGGAGCAAGACTCCCCCCCGGGTCTTGCCCCCAACTGTATCCTAGGACCCCACATGATGCCCACCATACAGCAGGTATTCAACGAACACTCGCCCCAACCAGCAGCCTTGCTGGAAAATGCGTCTTCAACCCCTGATTAAAAAATACTGCAGGACGATTGAGGTAGTAACAATCATGTGATAGTTACCAGATTATCAGCCATTTATCAGATATTTACCAGATCACTCCTCCCCAGAGAAGTGAAAAGACAATGTAGAACAGCAGTGACCCCCAGATGACAAAATGGTTGATCCAAGTCCAGTAGTGTGTGTCTAATGCAAGCTAAAAGGAAAAAAAAAAAAAAGGCAGTGAATGGTGTCATCTGAGTAGTCAGGATCGGTGACAGCAGAGAGAGCTGGGGTGACGAGAAATGAAACCAAACAGGAGACCCAGCAATGGCGACTCAATACCCATACAAAACCTCTCAGGAAGGCAAAAGCACACCTCACACAGCCTGTGGAGGGGGAGGGGGGAGCAGTGGTGATGCCACAGTCCAGGATTTGGGGGAAAGGGCCGTGGATCATCTCCCAGATGAGGGCGTCGGGGCCATGGATTAAGGCGTTTACATCACCACCGAAGAAAGTCACTTCGGACTAAGGTGTTGTTTATGCCACTACCTAAGAAAGTTGCTTTTAAAAATGTGAGTCTCTCTCTCTGTCGCCCATGCTGGAATGCAGTGGTGCAATCTCAGCTCATGCAATCTCTGCCTCCCGGGTTCAAGCACTTCTCCTGCCTCAGCCTCCCAAGTAGCTGGATTACAGGCGTGCACCACTGCGCCTGGCTAATTTTTGTATTTTTGGTAGAGACATGGCCATGTCGCCATGTTGGCCAGGCTGGTCTCCAACTCCTGACCTCAGGTGATCCACCTGCCTCAGCTTCCCAAAGTGCTGGGATTATAGGCATAAGCCACTGTGTCCGGCAGAAAGTTAGTTTAGATTCGGGTGTTGTTTATATCACTATCTAAAAAAAAATCACTTTAGTAATGTTTTGGTATCACTTTTTAAGACTCAGTCTGATAGGTTTTGAGATTTCACAATGATATATTCTGTATAGAATTTCACTGGATTTTTAAAAGAGTGAAATTTTCCAAAATACATTAATTTGTTCCAATTAAAATGTATTTTGATGGCGCTGGGGGGAGGGCTACTTGCCACTGAAAAGAATTCTAGCCTGAATTCTTTCACCAAGAGGCGGCGCTCTCCTGAGGTTTCCTTGGACATAGCTCTGGGGTTCGCACACGGGGTGGCCGAGTGTGTTACTTGTCTAAACAGCAGGATGAGGATGCCCAGGGGTGCCGCAGGAGTTGGCCTGGGCTGGGTGCAGGGCGGCTTCCAGCCTTAGTACGGAGTTCTAATTCAGAGAGCTTAGAGGGGTGAGGCCTACACAGCAGTGACTCACTGTGGCCGGGGGGGGATGTGAGCATCAGAACACTCACCTTTGGTGTGACTGACAGCAGGGATTCCCTGTGGCTGGGGGGGACGTGAGTGTGGGAGCACTTACCTTTGGTGTGACTGAGCCTGGGAGCACTCACCTTTAGTGTGACTGACAGCAGGATTCCCTGTGGCTGGGGGGGACGTGAGTGTGGGAGCACTCACCTTTATTGTGACTGAGAGCAGGGATTCCCTGTGGCTGGGGGGGGATGTGAGTGTGGGAGCACTCACCTTTAGTGTGACTGAGCCTGGGAGCACTCACCTTTAGTGTGACCGTGAACACCATCACAGTGAACACCAGCGTCCCAAACGTCCAGTTTCCAAATATCTGTTTGGGGAAAATAGTCCAAGTCATCTTGTTTTTATGTAGAGTTTTAGAAAATACATCTCATTTTTCTTGCTTGCCAACACTTCAAACCCCAAAGACATGAGAACTACGTTTTCTTATTATCATGTAAAAGACGATGCAACAGACCCTGCTTCTGGGGCACGGCAGGACACCCCAGTTTCCCGGCTGCGGCTTCCACCACCAGTCTGTGGCTCAGTGAGGGGCTCAGAGCCCCCTATCCGGAACTTTCTGCGCGCTCTTGACACCGGCCCTGCTCAACGCTCTCAGCCACAACAGATGTCGGTTGGTCCCAACGTCTCAAACTAAGCACAGAAACTCCCTCACAGCTGCCATTTAAACATCCATAATGCGAACCTGGGGCCTGCGAACCTCCTTTTTCTGTTTTGTGCTTTATGTAGAAGAGACAGACGCCTGATTACCCAGCCACACTGCACAGGTTTCAGGAACAGTCTTGTACATTTGTGTCTGTTCCCTTCTGAACTCAGCTCAGACTCCTGCCTCCTGTGGAAGAACAGTGGCTGGAATGTTCTGTGAGTGAATGATCAGGGAAAACAGCCAGCACCCACGCAGAGGTGGAAGCACGGGGGCTTCTCAAGGGAGAATCTCCATCAGGAAGGGAAGACAAGTAGGCAGGCAGGATGGAGCTGGACAGAGGCTGCCCTGCATGTGGCCAGAACCACAGATCCACCAACAGCACACCCAGCAGGCCGCGGAGGAGGGAAGGCCAGCAGGACCCACTGGCTGGCAACACAGCAGGATGCAGAGGGCACCGAGGTTTAGGGAAGCACAGACACAGACAGGCCCTGAAGGATGGCACAGTGGACCTCTGAGGACCACACGCCCAGCCCGTGAGGACGGCACAGTAGACGCTGAGGACCACACGCCCAGCCCGTGAGGACAGCACAGTGGACCCCTGAGGACCATACGCCTAGCCCGTGAGGATGGCACAGTGGACCCCTGAGGACCACACGCCCAGCCCATGTGGATGGCACAGTGGACCCCTGAGGACTACACACCCAGCCCGTGAGGATGGCACAGTGGAACTTTGAGGACCACACGCCCAGCCTGTGAGGATGGCACAGTGGACCCCTGAGGACCACACGCCCAGCCCGTGAGGACGGC